CCCCAAAACCCCAAAACCCCTTTAATCCTTTAATATAGGGATTTCTCTAAAAATTAACCATAATTAAGTATTATACTTATAAGAAAATTATTATTCATTTTCATGATATTCATTCTATATGTTTACCTATTGATAATAAGCAAAAAGAGTAATTCATATACAGTCTCAAGATTGTTTTATCATGCTTTTCTGAGTCGCAGATGTAGTTTTCAAGGTAGTAGTATTTTATAAGAGTCTCTTAAGTTGGTCATTCTCTTCCTTTAGCTTTTGCATTTCCTATGACTCTACATTCTTTTGGACATTATTAACGATAGACTTGGCCTTTTAACCAAATATCACAGATTATCTAGTTTCTTGTAAGTTATATTCAGATGGTGAAATATTAACAAACATTAGGGTCTTAGAGTTACCACCCAGAGAATCCTTCATAAGCTAAGTGAGTTTACTATCATTATAAGAAATATGCTTTTCATTCTGGGTTAGCTATCTTACAACTAGACCCAGACTGAATAAACTTTTGTTAATTGAATTAGCCTCTGTTATTCTTTCATTTATTCCTTAAGCCTTCGTTTATCGCTCGGAGCCTGCTAGATCCACAAAAGAGATTTTACTCATTGTTTTTTATTTAGTCTGTTCATTAAAGGTGTTAATGACAATTGTAAAAATCATATGAGATCTAGAGGACATATCATTCATCTTAGTGCTTGATACTTTCCTTGTTTTTAGGCCTTTATTATAACAGTTCTTAAGATCGTCGATGCCTTCTATCGGTACTTATGTAACATTTTCAATATAAGTTCTCCCCTAGTCTTCTCTTATATCTAGTGAGGGTGGCCTATCTCTAGTTGATTATCGATCGAACAGGCAGTCAATCAGATTGTTTATATATAGCTCTACCATATAGCACTCAAAATGAATAGTAAAGTTATTCATCTCCATTTGTCTTTTAATATTAAATAGTTAAGTAAGAGCTCTAGGAATAATACCAGGATTCTCCTCTGATCCTTACATGGTAAATGTTTTACCACTTCCAGTTTGACCATATGCAAAAATGCAAACATTAAATCCGTCCATTGCACTCTGTAAAAGCATTTTGACATCTTCGAAAACTTAATCCTAACTTGAAAATTTATCAAAGCATGAGTCAAAGTCGAATTCTCTTTCAATTGAGCCTCCTTTTATACCATCATTTTTAATTGGTAGTTAGACTCTCTAGCCATCTAGAACCTTTACCACTTCTAAGCATTACATATCTTTTTCCTGCTAATTCAAAGGTCTTACTCTACAGAACACTCTTATTTTTCCTTTCATATCTTCAATCTAATTATGAAGCATTTTCCTTTGATACATTTCATTCTAATGCTTGCACTTGATCATTTCATAGTTCTTTTAGAGCTCTTCTATTTACCTTAATAGCATAGCCTCACCATTTTGATTTTCATCTTGAAGCACATTAATTCGTTTTTCAAGAATTTACATCTTATCTTAGTATTACTTTATCTTTTCTTGACCGTCATTTGTTTGTTTCTATATCTGATTTTTAAGTTAAATAATTTTTTCTTCTCTTGTTTTAATTCCTAATTTAGCCTTTTCTTCAAGAGTTTTGAATTGTTTTTCATAAGTTTTCCTCTCTTCTTCCTCCAACATAGAGATGTTTGAATCTGATATTCTACTATTGTTTATCGCACTTTAATCAACACCACTTGGTCTTTTCTTGAATCTCTCAATTTCATCTCTGAATTCCTTAATAATTTAGGTCATTTTCTTAAAACTTAATCCAAGCTGTTTTTAATTATCAATTGCTTTTTGATATTCTGAAGATTACTTTTTATACTATTCTTTGACAACATTACTATCTATCAAACTCTAAGAGAGCAGCCTTTATCTCAGTTCATTTACCTCGCTCATTACGTTTGCTTTTATATAATCATCAAACTTCGACATAATCTAATCTACCAATTAGAGAAGACTTATTGATTATTTCATGAACTCCTACAGTTTCTGATCACTATTATTTTAGTCTGTTTACTTTTACCCTTCAACTTATATTTTTTCCTCTTCTTAACTTAAACTCTTATCGCTTTGAACTTTGCTTTGAGATTAATTTTATTGTTTTATTTCCGAAGCCTTTATTGCACTTTATTTTCTTGGACTCATTGATTTGCTTCCTCTAGCGCTCTTCTAAGGAGCATTTAGAGTGTGTTATTATTGTTATGATAAAATTTCTTTCAATTATTGATCAAGAGATGAGATAATTTATTTTTTTTCTGCATCTAATTTATTTATAATGTCAGAATTCTAGCGATATTTCATACCAATATTAAAGAGACGAGGATCGTCTCTAGGTATCTTATAATCATTCTTAGAATTCCCAGTTTCTCTTGCAAATTTTTCTCTCTCAATATTGATTTCTACTCCCAATTCCTTATTTTCTTTTTTCGGTTTCTCCAATTTTTTATCATATTCTTTTGTTTTTTCCTCAATTTATTTTTTCAAGTCCTCGATTTAAGCTTAATAAGGATCGATCTCAAGCAGTTCCTTTAATTCCTCTTTTTTCTTTGGAAGAGTAGAATAGTTCTAGATGTTAAGATTAGAAATAATTTTAGGCTGATTGATAAACGAGTTATTTCCAGCATTGTTGAGCTAAGTAATTTTAACATTATCAGAGTTTTAATTTCTCTGTAAACTTATTTTTTCTTTTAAGATTTATATGCTTTAGTTGTTACTATTACCAGGATTTTTATTCAGAACTTGGCCTCCCCCAGGTGCTCCTTCATTAGGCTTTTTATTCAATTTGAAATTTTTTATCTGAGATACATTGAATGTTCGAGGTAGACTTTAATTCTAAGGTTAAACATTAATAAGGTTCTAAGGACCACTTGCATTCGACATTGTACCGTTGGAACTTGAAAGAACACTAATGTTTTGAAGTTATTAATCTAAACTCTAGATTTTCTAAGTCAGTGACTGGTTGTTATTTAAAAGTGATTTATTCTCCTCTATCTTTTTATTGAGAGTGTTTTCATACTCATTGATTCGCAGTTCAAATTCATTTCTCAGCTTGCTATTTTCAATCTCTAGAATATCCTCTTTTTCCTTGAAATCATCTTTCATTCTTAGCATGTCTCTTTCAATTTCTAATATTTTCTGATCTCTGTCATTGACCTTATACCTGAGATCTTGCCTTTCTCTTTCGAGTTTCCTAATCTCATCCTCATAATTCTTCTTCATCATTTCTCTCTCATCATCCCTTAGTTGTATATCGTTGATGTGATCTCTTAGTATCTTCTCCTTCTCTCTTTACAGCTACAAGTACTTTTCATTTAGATTTTCAATTGCTTTGTCCTTTTCCTTTTATATTTGATCTTTCTCATTATAAAGCAGGTCAATAGCTTTTCTATATTAAGTAATCTTACTTTTTGCAACGTCTTTCCATTTCTGCAAAAATTCAAGGTAATAGTCTTAGGTTTCCTTCTCAATAAGCTTATAGTTCTCATCCATCTCTCTCATCAAGACAACATGCCTATCATGCATACGCTTCATATCCTCTTCGATCTTTTGAATGTGATTTTTAGCGAACTCAATAGGTATAAAACTTCTTTTGCTATGCTGTCTGTGAGACATTCCCCCTAGCTCACTATCGTTTAAGTCATCTGAGTCGCTATCATCTGCTCTATCGTGAAAACTTTCGAAAGATGATTCCTGCTTTTCTTCTTCCTAGTCTTCTTAATCACTTAAGGTTTGCATTTATCTATTCGTGATTGGATTGCTTTAACCTTCTTAATTTCCTCTTGCTGATTAAGCTACATATTGACCTTCATTATTATTATTAACAGCCTATGGTTATTCCTCCTCTTCTGGGTCAGGTGCAAACTTGAACTGATTAACGAAATCCTCTATATCAAAGTTATCTGGGTCGTACTCTATGGGGCTGCTGCTAGTACTTGAATCCACCTCTTTGTTTTCTGGAGGCTTTTAGTTTCTCTGAGAGAGTTATTGATAAGAAGGATCATTGATTTAATTTTATTGATTCTGAATGGTCTGCTTCGACCTTTAATTGCTATTACTCTCTTGATATTGTTGCTGTTGTTACAATGCTTGATTAGCATTTATACTTCTCAGCGATGAGGACTGATCAGTATTTTAATTATTATAGCTATTTCTATCTTGTCTGTGACTTGAATGCTGATCAGTATTTTAGCCAGAATGCTTAAAGGAATCATTAACTGGATGACTCTCATATTGATTTTGACTTTTCCTGCTTATTTTTGCATCCTGGTTTTGATTATTTTTCCCCTTCTGATAATTATGGCTTCTTTAGCTCTATGTCTCCTTCTCTTCCTCATCTGTATCATAGTACTTACTGTGCTTATATTTGCTTGAATCCTGATTAGTCTTGTAAGACTGATTAGAACCCTACTTTTACTTCTATTATTGATTATTAATGGAAGACATTCAAATCTCCTATAATGAATTTAAATTATTTTAATTTAATGCAATTCTCTCTCTAATTATTGTTTCAGTCCTTATAACTTCATATTCTCCATTCGGGGTTTTGGGGTTTTGGGGTTTTGGGG